ATCTTGAATGTGGTGATCATGTTCCCCCTAAGTCTTCTGTCTTCCAACGAAGTGAGGTTTAATTCCCGTAGTCTCTCCTCGTAGCTCATACCTCTCAGCTCGTGTACTAGTCTGGTGGCAAACCTTTGAACCTTTTCCATTTTAGTCTTATGCTTGACTAGATATGGACTCCATGCTGGTGCCGCATACTCCAGGATTGGTCTGACATATGTGGTATATAACGTTCTGAAAGATTCCTTACACAAGTTTCTAAAGGCCGTTCTTATGTTAGCCAACCTGGCATATGCTGCTGCTGTTATCCTCTTGATATGAGCTTCAGGGGACAGGTCTGGCGTGATATCAACCCCCATGTCTTTCTCTCTCTCGGACTCTTGAAGTATTTCATCTCCCAAGTGATACCTTGTATCTGGTCTCCTGCTTCCTACCCCTATCTTCATTACATTACATTTGCTTGGATTAAACTCTAACAGCCATTTGCTCGACCATTCCTGTAGCTTGTCCAGGTCTTCTTGAAGCCTCAAGCTGTCCTCCTCTTCTTAAACTTTCTCATAATTTTGGCGTCGTCAGTAAACATTGAGAGGAATGAGTCCATACTCTCTGGGAGATCATTTACGTATATCAGAAACAAGATAGGTCCAAGTACAGAGCCCTGTGGGACTCCACTGATGACTTCACACCAGTCTGAGGTCTCACCCCTCACTGTAACTCTCTGCTTCCTATTGTTTAGGTACTCCCTTATCCACTGGAGCGCCCTACCAGTTACTCCTGCCTGTTTCTCCAGCTTATGCATCAACCTTTTATAGTGTACTGTGTCAAAGGCTTTCCGACAGTCAAAAAAAATGCAGTCCGCCCACCCTTCTCTTTCTTGTTTAATCTTTGTCACCTGATCGTAGAATTCTCTCAATCCTGTAAGGCAAGATTTACCCTCCCTGAACCCATGTTGATGGGTTGTCATGAAGTCTCTTCTCTCCAGATGTGTTACTAGGTTTTTTCTCACAATCTTCTCCATCACCTTGCATGGTATACAAGTTAAGGACACTGGCCTGTAGTTCAGTGCCTCTTGTCTGTAACCCTTTTTGTATATTGGTACTACATTAGCAGTCTTCCATATTTCTGTTAGGTCCCCCGTTTCCAGTGACCTACTATACACTATGGAGAGTGGTAGGCAAAGTGCTCCTGCACACTCTTTCAATACCCATGGCGAGATTCCATCCGGCCCAACAGCTTTTCTCACATCCAGCTCCAATAGGAGCTTCTTGACCTCATCTCTTGTAATTTCGAACCTATCCAAGGTCACCTGGTTTGCTGCCACCTCTTCTAGCGCCGCGACATCTCCCTGTTCTATTGTAAAGACCTCCTGGAACCTTTTGTTGAGTTCTTCACACACCTCTTTGTCATTCTCTGTGTACCTGTCCTCGCCCACCCTAAGTTTCATCACCTGTTCCTTCACTGTTGTCTTCCTCCAGATGTGTGTGTGTGTGTGTGTACTCACCTAGTTGTGCTTATGGAGGGTTGAGCTCTGGCTCTTTGGTCCCGCCTCTCATCTGTCAATCAACTGATGTATAGGTTCCTGAGCCTATTGGGCTCTATCATATCTACACTTGAAACTGTGTATGGAGTCAGCCTCCACCACATCACTTCCTAATGCCTTCCATTTGTCAACTACTCTGATACTAAAAAAGTTCTTTCTAATATCTCTGTGACTCTTTTGGGCACTAAATTTCCACCTGTGGCCCCTTAGTGCGTGTGTTCATTGTCCTTAGAACGTTTCTTCTTGCTATGTCCATCAGCTCAGCTCTCCATGTGTCTGTTCCTCCATGTTGGTCTCAGTTCTCCCAATCAATCTTGCCAAGGTTGAAGTATTCCATGATTAGTAATTCAGATCTGTTCCTGTCTGGGTCTTCTGTCATTTGATGGAGAGTTATATATGACTATGACTATAAGTTTTAGTCATCTAATTGGTATGGTGTTGGAAATAAACCAACATTTAACTATCATTGTATTCTATGCATATTTTATACTAATCCTACTAATTTGTAGAATTAACATAAATTAATATTTTCCTATCTGCGCGTCATTTACCAAATTTTTCCCAAATAAAGGGACCGTATTGCGTTAGATAATACCCAGCAGAGGCATAAATATTGTCAACATGCCAGAGAATTGAATAATATTCTCGCCTATGTTAGTATTCTTTACAAGAATTAATATCTGACAATATAACAACCAGTGATCAAATAACAACGAGTTATCAACTAAAAGGGTCATTATATAACAGTTTATCTGTTACCTTAAACTTACATGGAGGAAGCAGAAAATTCTCTCCATTTTTCTTTTAATAAGAACACATTTCATATTAATTATTATTTGACGAGAATTTAAATAATATATAACTCCCTATAATTGCAACCCTATTCTCATTCATTTATTAAGCAGAGCAATTACAAGGAAAAGAATTTTCCGTTTCCATTGAAATTAGTTGCGCGTGCGTGACGAGACGGGTTGAGGTATGAGGAGGGGGCTCTTGGCTACGAGACACTGTGACGGCCACAAGTACAGAGAGAGAGGTGAAGCTTTCGCAAGCTATGCGATCGGCCATTGCTATTAATCGGCCCTGGAGTGCATAATTACTCCATCAGCGATCCAAGGACTGCATCGGCGGACAACAATAACGTTAAGTAGTTTGGTTTTAGTGTTCAGAGCCCTTAACATGTAAACTTTACCCTTAGTTCGTCGTTACACCACGCTCTCTCCTCTAAACACAAGTACGTTCGTTTCGCCCCTAAATCAACACAACAAGTACGTTCGTTCCCAGTGAACCTAATTTACCCCTTCTATTAATCCATAGTGACATAATCTACTGTGTGTAAACAATTTTTACACCATATTGGGTTTCCAGCGTGTGTTGAAGCAGCCTGAGATAAGACAAATTCCCACACCAGGCTAGCGAGTCATGTGTTCCAGCAGGTTCTAGATGACGCCGTCGCCAACCACGCAACCGTTCACTGTCACAGCTAAGCAGCTGATCTTTTCTTAATTTACTGATTAATCTCTCATAAATTGTCGAGATTTAATAATATCTCGAATTTATATTTCATATACGTCAGCTAGGAATTTAATCATATTTCTTATAGCCTCATGAACTTTTAGATAGGAACAATTTTCTTGTCTAACATTTATTACTATATAATCTTGTCATTAACCAAACTATTAAATACTTATACAAAATTATATTTCTTAGTAGATTTTACTAATATCTTTCGAGGAAGAACCATCCTAGATTAAGTGTACTAGGAGTAATTCATCTTCTAGTATTAACCCCCAATTGTGAAGTTTTGGAAGGTTCAACTCTTGAATAATAATTATTCTTACAGTCCATTAATATTCAACAAATAATTCTTGACGATTACATTATCCACAGGCACTGGTATCTCAGTCCTTTTTATTACACTAGTTACCTGTTTCCCTTTTCAGTAAAAATAGGGTGGTCCTTCGAGTAATTCAATTTAATCAATTAAATATCATTATATTAAGAGTTAACTTTCCTTCACGACATATGGTACCTGTTATGTAGTTACTGAAACCTTCACAGCCCTGAATAACCATCTCCTCAAAACTCCAGCCCTTTCTTACACTACCACCTCCACTTCCTTCTCTCTCTATCCTCCCAACACAGTGTTCCTGTGGAAACACTGCATTTGTTTTGGTTTTCATTAGCTTTGTTTCTGTGAGTATTATTATGTCTGGAGTTTTCTTCAAGTACCCCTTCTCCAAGTTAATTTGTTTAACTTGTAATCCGATCTATGTTAGTGAACATTGCCTTGAGACTCACTTTCTTTTGTTCCTTCTCATGTTCTGCGGATTGGGAAAGCTGTTCCATAGGTGTGAGGATTTATGAGGTGGTTAACAGGGTCTCAAAGAATACTGGGGTGAGGGGTGGGGGTAAAACTAAGGGGGACAGGGTTGGAAAGGGGGGGGGAGGGGTTTTTGAAAAGGGGGACAGGGAGGTAAAGGGGGAGGGGGACAGGGAGGGGAAAGGGGGAGGGAGACAGGGAGGTAAAGTGGGAGGGGGGGGGAAGGGGGCAGGGGAGACATGGTGGGAGTGGGAGAGGGGTAGCAGGGTGGGTATGGGGTGAGGTAGGAAGGAGGGTTGGCTGAGCATTTAAGTGGGAGCAGGGAGGGTTCGGGGTAGGGTATTTTTTATGCAGAGGAGGGTGGTGGTGTTGCCCTCCCTCTGGTGTTACTGGGTTACTGTTTGTGGGTCCTCCCCCCCCCCCACCTCTCACCTGTATGTGTGTGCATACCATATGTACTTACCTAGTTGTGCTTGCAGGGGTTGAGCTCTGGCTGTTTGGTCCTGCCTCTCAACTGTCAACCAACTTTTGTACAGGTTCCTGAGCCTACTGGGCTCTATCATATATACACTTGAAACTGTGTATGGAGTCTGCCTCCACCTCATCATTTCCTAATGCATTCTATTTGTCTATTATTATTTCATTAGCATTCCATTAGCTTAGGTTATGTCAGGTTAGGTTTGCTTAGGTTAGATTAGCTTTGGTTAGATTAGAGTAGGTTAGGTTAGGTTAGGTTAGGTTAGCTTTGGTTAGGTTAGCTTTGGTTAGGTTAGGTTAAGTTAGCTTAGGTCAGGTTAGGTAACTGTCAATATTTTCCGCTTGTTACAACTTATAATAAAGTTGCTACATCTTGCCTTAACGTGTTTGTGACGTATTAGAACGTTGTTACAACTTGCTATGTTGGTTGTTATAACTTGTTAGGAGGTGTTAAAACTTGTTCGAACGTTGTAGCAACGTCATAGTTTCGTTGTGTGTTTGGCGGGGCTTAGGTTAGGTTAGTTTTGGTAAGTTTAGATTAGGTTAGCTGATGTCAGGTTAGCTTAGGTTAGGTTAGCTCTGGTAGCTTAGGATCGGACAATTTTTGTGAGGTGACAACATAAGAAGACGGGCTGAAGTGTTAGCAAAGAGAGACTGAGGAAGACTTACTGTCAGGTAGAGTGGTGGCCTCAACACTCTGCCACTCACTACAGAGTGCTCGATCATCCACGACTGCCTGACACGCCCTCACCCACATCTGTGGAAGGTTAAGACTTTATGTTGACATACAAGCATGTATACTATAGATGAGGTATACTATGAATACGGCACGCTATGGATGGGGCGCACTATGTATGGGTCATACTATATACGAGTCATGCAATGTATGTTGCACAACATATGGAGCATATAATGCATGGGGCATATAATGCTTGAAGCGTATAATGCATGAAGTATATAATGCATGGAGCATATAATGCATGGGGCATATAATGCATGGAGCATATAATACATGGAGCATATAATGCATGGAGCATATAATGCATGGAGCATATAATGCATGGAGCATATAATGCATGGAACATATAATGCATGGGACATATAATACAAGGAGCACACTATTAATGGGATATATTACCTCTACCCCATTCCCCTCCAATCTACCCCTCCCCCACATGGAGCGTGCGCCCATACCAGGGAGACAGAGATGAACAATAGTAAAAGGGGCAAAATACAAAGGATAAAGTGAACTTTAAGGTAATGTTCACAAACACAGATGCCATTACAAGGTGAATGAACTCATGGAACATGAAGAGATCTCGGATTCAATTACACTCAGAGAAAGGACAGTGTCCGGCATCATAACCAGCTGGTCCAGGTTGTTAAGGGGAGAGGCGGAAGAAGGGGGTTAAAGTGTTTCCTTTGATCGTGAAGAATAACATATTGAAATTGTCACATCAAGGCAGTAAATAGCCATGGGAGTGACTGATAACACTCCTCCGCCGCAGGACAGAAGACACAGGCAGGGCCCTAACCGAGGAACACGGGCAGTTATTACTATCAAGAGAAGAGCTCTCTCAGCTAAAGCTCTATTTCTTGCAAGCAGGGATAGGGCTTGACTTTTAATAATGGGGGACTTGAATAACTGAAAGCTAGATCTGAATACTAAGGAACCCCTTGAGAGTCCAAACACTTTATATGGAGAAATAAATTTATGGAACCAGCGATGATAAGCTTTGTTGACCAGACCACACACTAGAAGGTGAAAGGACGACGACGTTTCGGTCCATCCTGGACCATTCTCAAGTCGATTGTCTTACAATAAGTCATTGTTGATGAGACATAATAAGCCACGTTATTGTGACTCATCGCCTGCATATGATAAGCTTTCAAAGTTTACATGTAAATGGGCCCACAAGAATGATTGGTAATGAGGCAAGCTACGACCACCAGTCTAAATTTGCCAGACACACAGTGATAGGTGCGTCAAAGTGTAACGTGGGTCAAGGTAAGAGGTGGGTCGTACCAGTATTCAAACTCTGAACTTTGACAGTTGAGTACGTGGTGGAAGTAGGAACGTGTTTCTCAAGATGAGATGAAACGTTAAACAAATTATGAATAATTAATACATTTTCCATTGTAACGAAAAGAATAACAGCCCTCTGAAGGAGGACCTGCCTGAAAGGAGGATAATGAAAACGATAGATATAACCAGTGGTTTAGAAAAGTGTGTAAGGCAGAAAAGCATATAATCAAGAGGAAATATAAATAATGTAGAAACAGAGAGAAAAGAGGTGTATCATAGAACCAGAAATGAGCACCTCAAAGTGGAGAGCAGCACAAAGACAATTTACAAATGTTTTTGGATAAAAAATGAAAGAAACATTCCCAATTAATTCTCAGCAATATAGAGATGAAAACAATATGAACAAGTGAAGAAACAGAGGATAGAAGAATAACAATTCGTGGATAATGAGGAGAGCGTCTGAGAGTAGTGAAGTTGACGACTAGAGCGACGCGCGCCATCTGGCCAGGTGGGACCCCCGCGACTACGACCGCGCGCACCATCTGGCCAGGTGGAGCGCAAGGGGTTTTGGGGGATTTTCCCGAAAGTTTGGCGTGTCGGACGCGTGTGAGCGTCCGGTGTTTGGGTATGCGGTCAGGAAAGATGGGGGTCATGTTGTTGGGGGGTAGGAGAGTATGTGGGCTATGTGGGGTATGTGGTAGAGTAAGAAATACGAGGATATGAGTGGAATATGTGGAAAGAGTAGTTAAATGTGTATGTGTGTTTGCCGTAGACTTAATCCTGTGTGTAGATAATAGTTTTGATTAAAGATGATAGTAAGTAAAGCTATGTATTGGCTGAGTGTAGGTGTGAGGGGTCCCAACATAGGCGGATATGTTGTTTGGGGTGGGGGAGGGGTGGGGAGGGGTGTTGGAAGGGTGAGGGGAGCTTCCCCTCGGCGTGAGAGTGCTTAGGTTCATTTGTGGTTTTTGACATCCATTATTTTCTTGGAGCTATGCACACAGCCGGAAGTGAGAGGAGGAGGGTAGGAGAGTCCAGGAGGAGATGAGAGCTGCAGCAGGAGGGATGTGGTCCATTACCTTAATGTTTTTTTCGATGTCTTCAGAGTGGTCTGGAGATGTTCACCCCAACAGGCCTCTCCCAACACTGTGGATTCGTTAAGGAGCGACGTTCTTACTACTGCCGGCAGGTCCACACCTGTCATCGTCAATCACTCCCACCCCTCATCCCCTCCTCTCCCCATACCATCAGGCCCCCCCTCCCTCTCCCTCCCCTCCATTACCTTCTAGAGTGGGGCACCCCCCCTTACCTTCTAGAGTGGTACGGACCAGGACCACATACCGTCACATCGACCTGAGAAGTGTCACCACATGCCACATAACTTAGTAAACTCAGTCAAAGTCAGTAGGTTAGTGTTTACTAAAAGAGGGAAACACTTTTTGGCGGGGAGCGAGCCTGGGTGTACCATCTCTCTCTCTCTCTCTCTCTGTCTCTGTCTCTGTCTCTGTCTCTGTCTCTCTCTCTCTGTCTCTGTCTCTGTCTCTGTCTGTCTCTCTCTCTCTCTCTCTCTCTCTCTCCTGACACTCTCACTGGGACATAGCAAAGGCGTGCCATGAGCACAACATACAAATTCCATCAAGAACTACCTATGTATTGCTAAACAGTCCAATCTCACACAAGGCAGTCATATGGGCAGTAAAGGCTTGCAGAGATGCATAAAGGAGTCCAGGACTGAACCCCACAATTCATGTTGACCAGACCACACACTACAAGTTGAAGGGACGACGACGTTTCGGTCCGTCCTGGACCATTCTCAAGTCGATTGTGAGAATGGTTCAGGACGGACCATAAATTATTGGGATCGTCTCAAAGCCCTCCAAATGTACTCACTAGAAAGAAGACGAGAGAGATATCAAATAATATACACCTGGAAGATACTGGAGGGCCAAGTACCAAATCTACACAGTAAAATAACAACGTACTGGAGTAAACGATATGGAAGAAAATGTAGAATAGAACCAGTGAAGAGCAGAGGTGCCATAGGCACAATCAGAGAACACTGTATAAACATCAGAGGTCCGCGGTTGTTCAACGTCCTCCCGGCAAGCATAAGAAATATTGCCGGAACAACCGTGGACATTTTCAAGAGGAAACTAGATTTATTCCTCCAAGGAGTGCCGGACCAACCGGGCTGTGGTGGGTATGTGGGCCTGCGGGCCGCTCCAAGCAACAGCCTGGTGGACCAAACTCTCACAAGTCAAGCCTGGCCTCGGGCCGGGCTTGGGGAGTAGAAGAACTCCCAGAACCCCATCAAACAGGTATCAACCAGGACCGAAACGTCGTCGTCCCTTCAACTTCTAGTGTGTGGTCTGGTCTACATACTTCAGCCACGTTATTGTGACTCATCGCCCACAATTCATTTTTAGCAAAGCAAGTTACAATCATGACGAGCTAGTTACAAAATTCAATATAAGTCAACACATCATCACGGGAGACGCGATCTCTACCTACACATTGTTCTTGTTAACTGTGATCACAACATCTGCTGGCACAAATAAATATCATTGAAATGTATGCGTGTCTCCATCACCTCTTCTTCCTACACCAGTTACTGCTGTGCAGACCTTGTAACACACAACGGCGTTATCATAGCAAGACACTGTCACAGAATGTTCAAGACTCCTGAATGAGTGAAACAGCAATCCGTCTCGTTAGAGTCTAACCTTCGTGGTGGTTTGAGGCGTAGTGAGATGGACGAGGTATTGGGATGACATTACCCTCTCCCCATCCACCCCCACCAAACCCCAACCCCCCTCCCACCCCCCCTTCCAAGCCCAAACCATCAAGCATCACTTCACCCTTCCCAGACCGGATGTTCTGTGCAAAGCCTTTAGTATTATTTCTGATCATATGTGTAACCTTGTATCGCAACGTGACCAACATGGTATCATCATTCTTTGCTCAAATAGCATTTTTTAAGAATATCGAGAGTCATAAGCTGGTCTTCAATCTTATTATTATAACAAATCATAATTTGTTGTAAACACAACTGCATGGGATACACAAAGCAGTCAGTGGTGTTTTTCTCTCTCTCTCTCTCTCTCTCTCTCTCTCTCTCTCTCTCTCTCTCTCTCTCTCTCTCTCTCTCTCTCTCTCTCTCTCTCTCTCTCTCTCTCTCTCTCTCTCTCTCTCTCTCTCTCTCTCTCTCTCCCTCTCCCTCTCCCTCTCTCTCTCTCTCTCTCTCTTCAGATCATTTAATAGTTGGGGAAAAGTAACATCAATTCCTTTCTCCTGCCGCCGCTGTTCACATATCTTTTTTCATTTCACTTAGACTGACAGCGCACCAGAGGATGGAAGACTAATGTCAATTTTCGAGCCCCCATCACTCTCACCCTTATAACCTTGTAAGGTAACACGACCAACATGATGACATCGTTCTTTGCCCAAATATCATTAATGTAACGTGACCAATATGGTAACTTCGTTCTTTGCCCAAATATCATTTTAAGAGCAACGACCAACTTTCTGCCCGATGTCTGAATATTGAAATGTGAACCCCATTTAGCCAAACACAATATCTCCATTACATCTCATACCATATAAATATTACGGTCTGCAAGTTTTAGACCTCTGTAACACATTGTAACATAACGCAAATCAACTTTCTGCAGTCCAAATAACATTATGAAAGTATGACTTAGTCCATCTCCATTACATCTCCTACCATATAA